GTTGGGGGTTAGGGGGTGCAGAGGGGTTTCCTAGGAGGGTGTCGGGTTAAGAGAGGTGACTAAAGATGTGAGAAGTGCAGAGGATTGAGAGACTGGGCCGCGATTCCCGCAGGAGACCTCGGGAAGCTGCGGGAAGGGCCCTGGAGCTGCCAGGTCGGAGTGGGAGAGGCTGTTCGGAGAGGCCGGCTCCGCCGTGCGGCCGGGCTTTTTTCCGGGGCTCAGGGCAGGGAGCGAGGAGACGGTGCCGCTTCCCACGGGCTCTGCCTGCGGAAATTACTCCTTTTCTTTCATCTTTGGGCATCCCGCACTGGTGTGACAAAGATCGCTATAAAACCTCCTGCTGCTGGTTGGATACGCAGTGTATGGGCGCACAGGCTCTTTGCTGGGAATGGGGTAATAAAATTAAAGCCTTTTATCTGCGAGTTGGCTTTTTGGGCTGGAAATGGCTCTCTGGGCACCTGCCCCATGTAAACGTCCTTTGCAGGGGGGTGTGATGATTGCACTGGGTTCTCTGCGCCTTGTGCCGCCACCGTAAAGGTCTCGTGAGGGCATCTGGCTTAGCACAAAAAGTGAGGTTGGAATTTGGCTTTTCCATAGCAGGGCTTGTTCTGCCGAGCTTGCAGAAGCCCAGAGAGATAAAACCTGAGCGCGTTGTCGCTGCCTCAGGGCGATCTCTGCGTGCGCAGCAAACCAGCTGCGAAAGGAAGTGCCACTTCTGCGCCCTGGTGGTTTTTTTTTCCCCAACCAAAATGCATTTGTGCATTTTTGAGAGGAGCGGAAGAGCCGTCTGAATGGAATAAGGTCTTTAGTGGCCAACTATCTTTTTATTGCGCTTCCTTGCGTGGGTAAATATGCAAGGATTGCAAACAGGCTGCCCTATTTGGGCTACGCACAAGCCACCCTGCTGAGAAGCCCTTGTTGGGTGGTGAGCAGGGTATGGACACGGAAACACTGCTCTGGATATGGGCAGATTCCTGTTCCGTTTCTCTGACCTCAAGTGAGCTAAGGAACTGGCAGTGCAAATTTAGGAGAACCATCTGGTCATGTAGGTCGTTGTCTTTTAATGTCTTTGTTGTTGTTGTTACTTTGACATTTGCCATTTCAGGTGGAGACAGATTGAGTTCACGGAGACTGGAACAATGATATTTAATTTCCTTGTCAGACTGGGACATGTTGACTAACAGTTCTGCTTTCCAAGTGATCCTTATCTGGAGAATATATATAATTTTAAACTTGTTTTTGCTTGTGAGAGGTACAGTGTGATATTCCTTGTGGCCATAAAAAGCCAACAAAGGTTTTGGGTCTAAAACTGCTTGGCCTCCTCATCAGCAAATGGTAAAATTGAAGGAATTTGCAAAAGATAAAGCAATAATGACTTTCAAGCATATTAACCTAGACATGAGGGAGGCTTTCAAAGGCATGAGCAACAACTGCAGTCAGGATCGCTGCTCTCTGCGTAAAGCAGCGATCTGTATCTTGCCTCATTTGGAAAATGACTCTTGTATCTGTTTTTTTCTTGGCCATAATGTGCAATAACTTAAAATGTCAAGACTTTCTAGCTTCAAAACTGAGCCGGATGATTGCCCGCGATTAAGAGGAATACTGGGTCATGCCGAAATGTACTCACTGCGTACGCAGCCTTGTTAATCTGGAGGTGGAACAACGCAGGGGATTGCGGGAGGAAATATTTGCAGTAGGATTTTGGCTCCTTTCAGTGAGAAGCTGATGGGAAAGTTCACGACTTTTTTTTTCCCCGTGTTTTCAGCAGCCCTTTTTCTTTGAAGCAGGGTATTAAAATGCCTAGCATAAGTTGTGTTGTGTCACCAACTTGTTAAGAGTTCATGTGCTGGTTCGTGTAACCGGGTCGCTGGTTCCGTATGGACTTCAGGAGTCCATATGCTCTTCTCTGACTCCGTTGAAGTAACTGGCCTAGTTTGCACTCTACGGAATTATGTAGGTTAAGGAAGTTTTTGCTTGCACAAAAGGTGGTTTTAAGACCCGGCTGTTAGGAGCTCCTGATGAGGTAGCAACGAATTGGAGGCTTTTCACTGTATGTCCTCACCTCGTTCAGAATCCTCCTTTTTCCCGAGGAAGAAGAGGAAGGAAAGGGAATTTCAGGTATACATCCCATTGCAGGCCCTTCTCAGGAAGGGGAAAATTCCTCAAATTTTTCCTCTTTTTTCCTCTATGGTGAAGGCTATCCGGGTGCTCAGGTGGTCTCTCTTGCTGGTAACCCTGGGATTGTTACGTGTGTTGGGGCCGGAGTCCTGGAATCATGTTTGTATTTGCAGGGTTTCAAATAACCCCCTAGCGCTTCGCTCTCCCCATGCAGCCTGTTAAGTAACTGCTGTGTTTTTTGTTTTTCTTTCTTGACAAAAGAAACCTGAACGTTGAATAACAACTTGCCCAAGGCCGCAGCAACCCCTTCTGTGTTATATAATTGTCACTCACCGTGTGCTTGTTGTTACCGGGCCCTCTGGGTTTGATGGCCCTGCTTGGTCCCTGGTCCCCTGTGGTGGCCCAGGCCCTTTGCAGTCCTCGCTCTAAACGCAGCCTCTTTGCTCTGCTTTTGCCTCTGGGAAGGCGCCGCTCCGCAGGCACAAACCTGCCTGGAAACCCCTGGGATTTCCCA